AATATTAATACCAAGCACTTAATTGAAATACTTTCAATTCACAAGGGTGAACATGACAGCCACAGTTTAAATAGAGTAAAAGGCAACAAATAGAGTAATAGCCTAGCCCAGGCATGGGCAAGCTTGGGCCTTCCCTCCAGGTGTATTGGACTCCAATTCCCACCATTCCTAACAGCCTCAGGCCCTTTCTTTTTCCCCCTCAGACGCTTAAGCGGCTGAGGGGGGAAAAAGAAGGGGCCTGAGGCTGTTAGGAATGGTAGGAGTTGGAGTCCAAAACACCTGGAGGGAAGGCCCAAGCTTGCCCATGCCTGTCCTGGCCTCCCAAGCACAGTCTGTTCTCTTTTATATACATTACCTACATAGACTTAAAAAAATATTGTTCAGGAAGGAGTAAGGTAAAGATAAATATTTCCCCATGACATTGAGTCCAGTCGTGTTGGTGCTCATCTCCATTTTTAAGCCCAAGAGCCGGTGTTGTCCGTAGACACCTCCAAGGTCGTGTGGCCGGCATGGAGTGGCCGTCAGGAAGGAGTATGATGATTGAAAGTGGGGAGGGCGCTTTGATGGCCTCGCCCCCAATTCTCCAGTCCCTTATCTTCTCTCTTAGGCTAAAATCTCAGCCGCAAAAGCCCAGCTCCATCTTGCTGGGCCGAGCCCATAACTCTGCAGCTCTGAGGAGGAAGGGAAGGAAGAGTCACCCCGCTGCCCTGCCAAGCGATTCACCAATCCAGGAGGAGCTTTCTCCGCACCGTTCTCCCATTGGTCGACGTGGACTGCAGATCACTGGCTTGGCCCCGCCCACATTCCTCCAGGGCGGAGAGGAAAGTGTTTTTTGGGTAGTATCTCTGATAGAGCTGCCCGCACTTTCCTCTCAATTTCCCCCTATGGTGGGGGAAAGGGTGTCCTGTCGCCACTATATAATGGAAAGTGTGGGGCCAAGGGTCACACTACACTGTAAGGGTGCATCTACATCAGGCCTGGGCAAACTTTGGGCCCCTTCTCTGAGTGTTTTGGAGTTTAACTCCCACCATTCCTAACAGCCTCGGACACTTTCCAAGCAGAAAAGAAAGAGGCCTGAGGTTGTTAGGAATTGAAGTCCAAAACACCTGGAAGGAGGGCCCAATTTGCCCATGCCTGGTCTAAACTGTGGGTAGAGTCAGTACTGTGGGATCAAGGGAGCTGCCAAAGAGTCCTGGCTCCTCATCAGACTCTGCGCTCTACACCACTGGAGAAATTTCACTGTTTAGCCGGTATTGCACCACCTGACATCTGCCAGGAAGTAGCAGCCAATAGTGAAAGGACCAAGGCAGTGACATCTCCAGCTCATCCCCTGTTTGGGTATCAGCCAGCACATCAACGACTTAAATCAAGAAATAGTTTTCTAAGATCTACAGAGACACTTGCTGGAACACCTCAGCAACCGAGAGTCCAAAAGTGGCAGACTCAAGCCCATAATCTCAGTCAATGGCTGATTCCAAATGAGAGACTCCCCCCTGGGCACACGAAAACTGGGCGACTTGGAAGGCGCTGAACAGACTATGCTCTAGCACCACAAGATGCAGAACCAACCTTCAGAAATGGGGCTACAAAGTGGAATCCACGACATGTGAGTGTGGAGAAGAGCAAAACACAGACCACTTGCTGCAATGCAACCTGAGCCCTGCCACATGCACAATGGAGGACCTAGGTTGTTGTAGGTTTTTTCGGGCTATATGACCATGTTCTAGAGGCATTCTCTCTAAACATTTCGCCTGCATCTATGGCAAGCATCCTCAGAGGTAGTGAGGTGAGGGGGATCTTCTTGCAGCAACACCAGAGGCACTCCAAGTGGCCAGCTACTGGTCAAAGAACATTTAATCAACTACCAAGCTTGCAAACTTTGGTGTTTGTTAAAATGTATTTTAATAATACATTCATGTGTGCTTTTGTCCATTCTTGCTTTAAACTACATCAGTTTTAATTTTGTAATCCTGGTTCTGGGCATTAATGGTGAGATATAAATACAATATAATAAAATAAAATAAATCTAGATTAGTAGCTAGCTAATGGTAGTCATATCCTTATTTAAACCCACGTGTTTAATCACATGAATGACATCACTTGGAGTTTGATTTTTGGAGACAAGGTTTTATTAAAGCAAACTTTCATAGATGCTTGGGCTAGCCAGTTCTGTTCCTCTCTTTAATACTTTTCTCCCACCCAGCATTTCATAACCAACTTTCATTCTTTTGGTCCTAATGAAAAAGAAAATGATGTCGGGAAAACCACCAAGATCCAGTTCTTAACAGTGTACCACTGTTTGTTCTTTGAAACACTGCATAAAAATGGCCAAATTATGTTCCTTTTCAACCACAGCGAGCTCCCTCCGAACCCTTAAAATGAGGTTGATATCTTTTACATAAGCATATTGACTAAAATTCAGAGCATGACATGGGGGGGAGGGAGAAAGAGAAACCTGTTTTAATTCTGCCTGTCATGCAAAAGTTAGACACGAAGAACACTACTAGAAAATTCAAACACCCCTAATACTCAGTGAATTAGAGTGGTCCCCAGGCCTCCAGGGCCATAATGTCTTCAGGGTGTAGGGGACCCCTTGCTTGGGGTCCTTGCTAAGTCTGTCGCAGAGGGCAGCAAATGAAGAGAGTCTAGCCTCCAGAGGTAAAGCAAATCTCGTTTATTTTCTTCACGGCCGTGGATAGATGAACAAGCCAGAAACAACACAGTGATTCATTCAAAGTGGCTGTCGTGCTCTACATCTCAAAAGTGGGGCTTCTTATACTCTTTAACAAACATCTTAGACAATGAGATTAAGCACAAGGTGAAACATCCTATACCTGGTAATACATTAAAGTATCCTACTTTTGCTGGTTCTTGTTGTTGTTGTTCATTCGTTCAGTCGTCTCCGACTCTTCGTGACCTCATGGACCAGCCTACGCCAGAGCTCCCTGTTGGCCGTTACCACCCCCAGCTCCCTCAAGGTCAGTCCAGTCACTTTGCTGGTTCTGCATTCCCTAAATTAAGCAATAAGGATGTGAATGAAAGGTCATATAGGCAGAGAAGCTACATGTCACTCCTTCTAGTATGGGAGGGGGACTTCTGTTTCCCCTCAATTTTTGGTTCATAGTGACCTATTAACCCTGACCTCTTTGTTATTCTGCTCCTTCAGCAGACCCTGTACTACGCGTCTCTATCTTGCTGACACTGTAACTTCTGACTCTTTGCTTTGCTAATTAGCAGGAAATACCTATTTTCTATTCTTATCTTAGTTTGCCAAAGTACAGGAACTGTTGTTGGTTTTCTATACTTATCTCAGAAGGTAACCTGTCTTGTAGTTTCATGCCAAAGTCCTCCTAGAATATGTTTAGAATATGTTTAAGATTTTAGGGTTTTAGAGTTTTAGGGGTCTGTTAGGGGGCTTTTGGGCCTATGCTTCTGTCAACAGGATCTATATGAAGACTTGAAGAAATGTTACAAGCTTTTACACTTTAAAAAGGAAGGAAGACACATGATAACACATAGATTTCAAAGAGCAGAAATCCAACATCATTTCCACAAAGTTAAATTACAGTATTTCAAAATAGTTATAAAAATGAGAACAAAAATATACTCAGCAGCTGTTACTTCTGCACGCACAGAGAGAGCATGCAAGTGAATGATGCTGAAAGAAAGCATATGTCATTTCTTGCTAGCACCAGAGTATGCCTTAGTAGTTGCAAATTTTGTGCCACCATGTTCATGGAATATATGTGTTGCTTCTGACACGAAGAGTCAGAGAAGCCAGTATGAATGACTGCTCACAACCAGATTTTCTAGAGCCACCGAAGAAAGTATTAATCCCTTTTGTAACAGCATACCTGTTGGAAAAATCATCCATTGATCTCTCTTACCTTAAAAATAAGTACAGAAACCATTTGAAAAAAAGTAGTCAGAACTCAGAATACAAGTTTCAGCAATTAAGCCCAATTTAACAATTCAGTACCAGCCTTCTCACTCAATCCTCATTAACTAATTAATTAACATTAATTAATACTAGGTCATGCTCTGGTGTTCAGGTACTATTATTATTGCTATTATTAGTATTATTAATTTGCACAGAATCCTTCCAGTAAAAATATTTTAATAGAAGAGTATTTACTTCTTCCTCCTCTACAAATCTGAAGATGTTTGATGAGCAACTTAAAATAAACATGTGATACATTGCATGGTTTAAAATGATTCAACACCTTAATGTAAAATTAAACAATGTATATAGAGGATCCTATAAGATTGTAGACAAGGAGGAAGAGGATGTAAAGTAAGAGTCTACGATATTTTTATGTGTATTATTTAGATAGTAGACTGTGACCCCTTAAAGGAAATATATTATCAGATACATGATTATGGAATATTAATAGATAGAAAGTATTGCACTGTATGCAACAAACACTTGCAAATGTATGTCTACTTAAATAAAATAAAATTGAAAATTGAAACAAAATCTTCAGCTACATTATAGTCTGTAGCAATATAATATATAGTATCTAAATTGGTAAAGAAAAGTTTTGGAATTGCTACTTTATTACGTTGTTTACTGCAGACACACTTCTGCAACCCAACTCTGAACGTCTGTCATTCTCTGGCCACCTTTTCATCATGTCCTCATTGCCACTGTTTCAAAAACAATTCCAGCTAGATAGATGCACCCTAAAAATACTTTGTGGGAAGGATCTTCTTTGTCAGAAGCTTTTTATAACTGAAATACACCTATATATTTATGTAATGGTATAATTTTGTGCCATACCATGCTTATTTTAACCAGTTGTTCTTCCATAATCATAAGAATAATTTAGCACAAGGCAGGCAGTTGTTGCATTCTTTGGGGCTTAACTTGTTTGCTGCTAGATAGTTTGCAGATATTCTTATCTGTCAAATTGAGCCCCTCCAAAATTGTCACAAAGACACCAAGATGCAGCAGAGGCTTTCATGTTTCAATGTACTCTTATTTTGGTTTTTAAGGGAGCTGCTGAAGCTTCATTTTCCTTCATCCAGCTGAACGTGTGATGATGCCTTTTGGAGGAATGGCTGCCAGATTAGAAAGGGACCGTCTGCGAGCAGAGGGTGTGGGCAATCACCAAAATGCTGTTAAATATCTGGGTCAGGATTACGAAACCCTGAAGCAAGAATGTTTGAAGAGTGGGAGATTGTTTGAAGATCCCAAGTTTCCTCCCATCCCTTCTAACCTTGGCTTCAAGGAACTGGGGCCAAATTCTGACAAGACCCAAGGAGTGCTCTGGAAGCGCCCATCAGTGAGTACCTAATAAAGAGGAAACCATGAAATGCCATTAAATGCCCAGACTTTGCATTCTGCATTGCAATAATTCACATTAGCAGCTTTCATGAAAAGCTTCTTCACTCACTGATTCTATGCTAGCATTTTTGTGCTTTTTTTACTGCACCTAAGGCTGTACTATTTATTTCAATGACCCATTTCCAACTTCTTATTAGTCCCTCTTTCCCATTTAAACCTCTTGCTTTGCACTCTAATAAATTATGAATGTGAGCTCCTGCCAAATTGCAAAGGAAGTTACACTTGCAAAGGGTTTTCTTGTCTGCAGAATGGGAGAGATGCCTGGCAGTGTCTGCTCTTGAACTTTCATTTCAGCAGAGCCAACTGTAAGAAATGGGGCTACAAACCGGAGTCCATGACATGCGAGTGTGGAAAAGAGCAAACCACAGACCACCTATTACAATGCAGTCTGAACCCTGCCACATGCACAATGGAGGGCCTTCTTATAGCAACACCAGAGGCACTCCAAGTGACCAGCTACTGATTAAAGGACATTTAGCATAATGTCAAGTTTTTTAAACTTCATGGTTTTTTTTAAATGCAACTGTACCCTCCAGTTCGCTTCTGATACGATAAATAAATAAGCACTGTATGGATCCCTACTGACCTCTTTATATCAAAGACTTGTCATTGCTTTTGAACCTCAGTCAAGTTATATATTTACCTCTCTTTTTAGTTTGTAGAACTATGATCTACATAGTTTTTCAGGACAGTTTTGGTCTTGTTTGAAGAAATTGAAAGCTAGTAATAATCATAATCATAATCATAATAACAACTTTATTTTTATACCCCACCTCCATCTCCCCTAAGGGATTCGGGGTGGCTTACAAAGGGACAAGCCCAGAGAACACAAAGCTAAAAACATAATACATTAAGATAGCATCAAAACAAAACCAAATAAAAACAAATCACAATAAAACATAACATCATAAACACAGTACCATACGGAATGATAAAAGTGCAGAGTTCAAAGGGCTCCGGGTTTGTGCAAATTCCTAGACAGAGCTAAGTGAAAGTGCAAAATTCAGAAAGGCAGGGCTGGGAGGATAATTTTCATGGGCATTAAAATGTCAGGATTGTAGAGCAGAGGGCTATGCTAAAGTGCTGGAACTTAGGTAACATTGGGACAATTCTTTGGAACTGCCTATGAATCAAAGGCACAGCGGAACATTCATGTTTTTAGGTTCTTACTGAAGGTGGACAGGGTAGGTGCCAGTCTGATCTCCCCAGGAAGAGATTCCTAGAGCCAGGGGACCACCACCAAGAAAACCCTCTCCCTCGTCCCCACCAACTGCACTTGAGATAGAGGTGGAAGTTAGAGAAGGGCCTCCCGGATGATCTTTGGACTCGTGTTGGTTCATAGGGGAAGATGTGACCACAAAGACAGGCAGATCCTGAACCGTTTAGGGCTTTGTAGGTAATCACCTGCACCTTGAATTGGAACCAGAAACTCATTGGCAGCCAGAGGATCCATTTGAACAGGAGGGTTGACTGCTCCCTATAGCTTGCTCCAGTTAGTAATCTGGCTGCCGATCTTTGCACCAAGAGCCATAACAAAGAATTTGTACAGGATATGAAATCTACACACACCAGTATAAATGGTTCATAGAAATGGAGTGAGAAGTAAGGTCCAAGAGTCATCTCATGCAATCCCATGCTTATGGAGGAACTGGATGTTATTTCAAGTTCTGACTGAACTATGAACTTCCTGAGGAACAGCCGGCCTTTTCTTTGGCCACCTCAAGATGAGAGACAATCTGAATCCAACTAAAGAAAAAGAAAAGCCAAGTGGTCATAAGGAAAAAGTCCATAAAGATTTTCAAGATGCTAGACCATAAAGATTTTTAAGATGTTAAGAATAATGCATTAAGCATATGCTATTTAGAGAACTTGAAAAGTTAGTTGGAACTTGGAACAATAACTCCAAGGAGTTAAATGTGGCTTTTTTCAAGTTCTACCCATTTCATTTTGTTGTCTGTTCAGCTTTTGTGGGAATGTTGAAGAAACCACTGACAGGTTTCTTTTTATTTTTCACTTCTACAGGAAATTGTGGAAGACCCAAAGTTTATTGTGGGAGGTGCCACAAGGACAGACATCTGCCAAGGGACTCTGGGTGAGTAATGTGTATTCATTCTTTGGAGAGGTAACAGGATGAGAGAAATGAGTAGATTGGTTGGTAAAAGGGAGGGTCAGAATTGGGATTTAGAAAAAAATTGTGGACAATAAGCCTTAAGCAGTTAGGCGTTGAAGCCAGAAATTGGTTTACCTTGTGCCAAATTTTGCTGTACCAGCTCTCTTGATGACTAAATCAAGATAGAAAGCATTACATGAGCTGCATTATACAGCAATATTATCAGGTCTTCAGCTTAGTGAGGAAAATACTTTAAAATAGAAAGACAGTTACTTCTCTTCTCCTCAGTGGTTAGGAACATGTGTAAAAGAAAGAGTGACTATTATAAGTGATAGCTACAGGAAATACACAAGGGCTTCTTGTGGGAAAGACAAATATTGTGTATAAAATTACCATCAGGCTGTTTATATAAAGTGTATCTAGATGAAGCATACATTAATGTTATCTTTGCTCATGGATTCCATCTCCAATTTGTATGTATAAGTACAAATATTTCAACATTAAAAATATCCAAAACACATCTGATCCCAAACTTCTGCTGATGCTTACATATTCAACCTTCATCTTTATAACCTTTATAACAGTAATATAAGAAATATTCATCATAAGTCCAACCTACAACCCCAGCCCTTGAAGTTGTGGGTTCCTCTCATTGGAGTATCCCATAGTTCACTCAGTGAATGTTTTTGTTTACTTTTAAAATTCTGGTCTCTGGTCATTAAGGATTTCCCCATTGCTATAGCATTATGGTGGAATAAAAGCATGCCCTCAAACATAAATAAAATGAAAAAGAAAGATATAATTCAAATTGACTAATTTGAAGACGGGCATAATGCCAACATTAGGTACTATCTAATGTGAAATTCTTGTGACATTTTAAAAGAAGCATCAAGTAAGATATTTTCATTTTATGGAGACATACATCACAGTTTCTGGTTAAGAAATTGTCCCTCATTGTTTAGGTATCATAATAAAGGAGAGATTATTACTGTTTCTCATACATTCTGAAGATTTTACCAGATAAATAGTGTTGATGCATTTGTGCAAGGTCTTCAGTTTCCTCTCCCAGAATACCCCAGCCAGCATGGCTAGTTGCTTGGTGAGTTGTAGTTCAAAATGTAACTTTCCCAAATTTTGACACAAATGTGTGTCAAAGCAAAAGAAAATGTCTTGAGTGGCCTGGTAAGAAGAGGTATAAAATACACTGAGCAATTGGAAGATTTAACTATTGCAAATGTAAATAATATGTTTTTCTTGATCTTTAGTGTGACCACAGTTGTGCTGGAGGACACAAATCTCTTGGTCCTCCAGCACCACTCTGTGATCGGTTATCACTGAAAATTTCCTAGAGAGGCATTCTTTCAGGGAAAAATAGTTATTTTTAATGCATTTTCCCATTTTTGTGGTTTTCTTTTGTATTGAATTCCTATGAAAGTAGAGGGCCTACTGTGCTGATATTGAACACATGGGTCAGAAGTAAGGATGTTGGAACCTAGATATTATAAGAACGAGTGTTCTGTTTTCTTACTCCTCAGGTAATTGCTGGTTACTGGCTGCCATTGGCTCCCTGACTCTCAATGAGGATCTTCTGCACCGAGTTGTGCCTCATGACCAGAGCTTCCAGGAGGACTATGCAGGCATCTTTCACTTCCAGGTGAGATCAAGGAAAAGGTCATTCATATTTCCCCTAGAAAGTGCTTCATAGTCCTTTCTCAACAATAGAATGAAATTGAGATGAGGAAATTTCACAGTCATGGACAAGGAAAATTTTGACTGACAAACAAGGATGTTGTTTAGCATTTGGCTTCCCCATCCACACCTAGTACCTATTTTACTTTTATCCCATGAGCAGCAGCATTTTTTTGGCCCTAACCCATTGTTCTCCTGTTACCTCCCCAGATCTGGCAGTTTGGTGAATGGATGGATGTGGTAATAGATGACCGCCTGCCCACCAAAGACGGAAAGCTGGTATTTGTGCATTCAGCAGAATGTCAAGAATTCTGGAGCGCTCTGCTGGAAAAGGCATATGCTAAGTGAGTACTATCTTGGTCTATATTACGCAGGGTATTTGAGAGTGTAGTGGCTTCCCCTCCTTGATACACCTTTCCCAGGAAGTTCTGCTCATTCTTGGAGTCCATTCCTTTGTTTATTGATTTGTTTTCATATTACTTATGGCATTGAATGTTTGTGTATTTTGTTGTAAACTGCCCTGAGTCCACACACACTACTACTTTTTTTAAGAGACCAGGAGGTGTGGTTTAATACTATCTACTTAAGAACTTAGGAATTACTTTTTTCCTGTTCACCTCCAAGACTCTCTCTATTTTGAGTTGGGTAGTTCAAAAAATAAACTTTTCAGACTCTGATCCAGCTAATTGTCTAAATTCTGTTTGGCATATAGGTTGAATGGATCTTATGAGGCCCTGTCAGGTGGCAGCACCACAGAAGGCTTTGAGGATTTCACAGGAGGTGTAGCAGAAATTTATGATCTCAAGAAGCCACCTAGTAACATTGCCAGGATCATTTGCAAGGCTCTCGAAAGGGGTTCCCTCCTTGGCTGTTCCATTGATGTAAGTGCGTCAGACAGGTGTCATTTGTGAAATGCTTCAGATTTGGAATTTTGGAGGGAACACATCTGTTCTTCCATTCTGATCTGGTTTTTGAAAAAGTGTTATGGGACCTGCCATAAATAATAGTGGCTTTAATTGGTTGAGATTGATCAAGGCAGAACAGCAGAATGGGCCCAAAGATTAGATAAAAATGTAAGATGGGACACAGAATGTTAAGCTACAGACTTCCTTTTCCCATATTAGGCTGTACAAACAGAGTACTGCCTGGTGCCTCCTTGTGGTGGGTAGGTGCACTGAAAACCACTCTTCATCAAATACCATTCAGACTTCTGTTCTTTGAATTTTTCATTGTGTTCTTCAAAAATATAGCATTGCTGTGTGTAAGGAGCTGATCAGGGGCTGGTCTAACATACACCGTTCCATGTTTGATTCTTTTCTCATGGCAAATTTTCTCTATATATGTTTTCAAAATGAATAAATAAAAATCATATTAGGAATTCCACACAAAGGGACACCAGTCTTTGCAGGAGAAACCCATTAGTTCTAAGTTTGAAAAGGGGATGCCTCAAATAAAGGTTTACTCACATTTTGCCTTTGTTTCCTTTAAGAAGCAGAACCTGAGATTCTTTCAATTGATTCCACAAAAGAAACAATGAATCCCAAGAAGCTAAAAATCAATTGTTTAATTAGTAGAAAATCCAAATACATTTTGGCCTATGTGTTTACTCTTAAGGTTTTCTTCAGTGTGTTATATAAAATCAAAAAAGAACAACACGTAAATGCATAATATCAATGACATAAAACCTTATTACTTTGCCTATAGATTAAATATCTATTTTGAATTAAACTTGAAAATATTTGCATTAGGAACTCTCAAAGTGTTTACTAGAGATTTGTCTTTTTATGACTTTATGTATCCCCCCGGGGGGAAAAAGGCCTTAAACACAGATCAAAACACATCAGGGGTTTCTGCTAGTAAAAGTAAAATCTGTTTCCCATATCTATTTTCATTCCCTGCCATGGCTGTTAATGCACTGAATCCTCAGGTAAGGTGTATTTAGATATATTTGTAATCTGAAGGTTTTTTTCACCTCCAGTTCATTTTGGAAAAACTAGAAAGGCAGTATGGAGCAAGCAAGAAAAATGAATGATGGCCACATCCTAAATATAGAATCATAGAGTTGGAAGAGATCTCTTGGGCCATCCAGTCCAACCCCTTGCCAAGAAGCAGGAATATTGCATTCAAAGCACCCCCGATAGATGGCTATCCAGCCTCTGTTTAAAAGCCTCCAAAGAAGGAGCCTCCACCACACTCCAGGGCAGAGAGTTCCACTGCTGAACAGCTCTCACATTCAGGAAGTTCTTCTTAATGTTCATATAGAATCATATATTATGATGGGATGGATCAGAGCTACCCTTCTAGTTGGAGGCTTGTGTTCTTTATAAAGTTTGTGTATTTCCAAGTTGGTTTACACTGTTTCAGGATTTTGAATTCCTAATCATATGTTATGTTTGGTGTGCATTTTCATCTATCAGTGATGTCTTGTATTCCTCTGAAATTTAAGAGGCATGAAAGTGGAGCCTTTCTATGGGGAGCCTAGTGACCAATGCCACTTTCCCTTTCTTGACAGGTCACCAGTGCACGTGATATGGAAGCAATCACTTTCAGGAAACTAGTGAAGGGCCATGCCTATTCTGTCACAGGATTTAAGAATGTGAGTTTCTCATTATCAGGTGGTAAGCTGTTCATGGGGTTGGCTGGGTTTGCAGGTTGTCTAATATCCCAACTTTGGCAGGTGGACTATCGTGGCCAACAAGAATCGCTCATCCGCATAAGGAACCCCTGGGGTGATGTAGAGTGGTCTGGAGCTTGGAGTGACAAGTGAGTGTGACAAGGCCCTATTATGTACGGGCACATAAAAGTGATCCACAGATGCAGCATTATCATTTGGTATAAACAAAACATTGTAGAAAAAAAATGGCAGTATCATTTCAAATACAAGTGCTTTTTGACTGAATAAGTTCATCTTTGTAACTCTGAGGCAATGAAGGGAAAATCATGTAAGGACACTTACACTGGATCAATCCAGCTTAGTTTACTAACTGGCAATATCTCTTTAGGATTTCAGATGGATCTTTATAATCTTCTCTGGAAATACTAGGAACTGAACAGAGGACCTAATTGTATGGAAAGCTGGTGCTCTACCACTGAATTGTTACTCTTTGAGTCAGACTTTTGTTGCTCCTTTGGATTGGAGGAATATCAAATAGTCCAGCAGAATTCAAAACAATCTGAACAGATTAGAGAGATGGGCCGAAACTAACAAAATGAAGTTCAACATAGACAAATGCAAGATACATCACTTAGGCAGAAAAAAATGAAATGCAAATATGAGAGATCTTGGAGTCCTCATGGACCACATGTTAAGCATGAGCCAACAATGTCATGCGGCAGCTAAAAAGCCAAAGGGATGTTGGCCTGCATAAATAGGAGATTAGTGTCTAGATCCAGGGAAGTCATGCTGCCCCTCTATTCTGCCTTGGTCAGACCGCACCTGGAATATTGTGTGCAATTCTAGGCACTGCAATCTAAGGGAGATGTTGACAAGCTGGAATGTGTCCAGAGGAGGGTGATTAAAATGATCAAGGGTCTGGAGAACAAGCCCTATGAGGAGCAACTTAAAGAGCCTGCAGAAGAGAAGGCTGAGAGTTGACATGATGAGGGCCATGTATAAATATGTGAGGTTTTGCTTGCTTGCTTGCATGCTGGTCGCTTCTGTGGCGAGAGAATCAGCTGTCTACAAAGACGTTGCCCAGGGGACGCCTGGATGTCTTGCAATCCTGCGAGGAGGCTTCTCTCATGTCATGTATGTGAGGTGACATCATAGGGAGGAGGGAGCAAGTTTGTTTTCTGCTGCCCTGGAGACTAAGACGCAGAATAATGGCTTCAAGCTACAGGAAAGGAGATTCCACCTAAACAGAACTTAGGAAGAACTTTCTGACTGTGAGAGCTGTTCCACAGTGGAACTCTCTGCTGCAGAGTGCGGTGGAGGCTCCTTCTTTGGAAGCTTTTAAACAGAGGCTGGATGGCCATCTGTCAGGGGTGCTTTGAATGCAATTTTCCTGCTTCTTGGCAGGGGGTTGGACTGGATGGCCCATGAGGTCTCTTCCAACTTTATGATTCTGATTTTAATTTAGAAGAGAGAAAAACATAGTATAACAGTCTTTCCATTGGTATCTTAGCTCTTCTGAGTGGAATGAAGTAGACCCTAATCAGAGGGAAGAAATGCACCTAAAAATGGAAGATGGTGAATTCTGGTAAGTTTCTAGATTCATGGCACCATTTATTGTTAATTTGTTTGTTCTCACGTCTGTGTCAGTAGATTAAAAATATTTGTTGCCAAATATTTGTACTACTTATACACCACTTTTTTCTCTTAAAGAGACTCAAAGCGGTGTATAGTGATAAAAACAATACAATGTGATGGGAATCAGAAGCTGTTAGGCTCAAAAATAACCCTCACTTGGGGTGATTCCACAAAAATATAGCAGAGTGCCAGAAGCACAGTTCATAACCAGAAGAAGCTTACGTGAAGAAAGTGAGGATTAGTCTCCATTCAACAGGATGGAACAGGATTGCAGGAGCCACAATTTCATAGGCTCTAAAAATATGTTTATTAAACTCAAAAGAAATCCATTCTGGATAGAAAAGGTTCTTGGAGCTAACTAGTTTACTAAGCTATATTTGAGGGGGGGGGGGGATAAAAATAACAAAACGGTATCACGTGGCTAAATCTTGCCTGGAGAAAGGCAAGATGCATCTTCACTCAAATAAGACAACGCAAGAGAGAGGCCAAAATGGAGAGAATGATCACAATGCCAAACCAGAGCAATAAAGCCAGGGCAATCAAAATAGCTTTAAAGAGGAAGTTGCCTCATCCCTTACAAATATCACACGGCTAAATATTCAAGGGGGAGAAGATAATAGCAAGGAGGAAGAGTGAAACAAAGCCCCTTCTGAGATAGGCATGCATAGGAATTTGGAGAAGGAATCCTTCACGCTAATTCTATATAGGCTAACTACTCATTGAGGGCTGGAGACTTGTGCAATCTCCAACACAATGTAGAGTTTAAAACCTGAAGACTATAAATATTAAAATAGAATTAAACCTGTAACTATCTAAAAATTAATAATTAAAACCAATTTAAAATACATAAAACACCACACAACACCCTGACTCTGTCTTTAAGACTTTCTGCTTTAAAAGCCTGTCTGAATAAAAAGGTTTTAGCCTGCTTTCCTAGGCAGAGAATTCCAGAATTGAGGGGCTGCCACTAAGAAAGCCCTCTTGTTCATTCCCACTAACCAAGCTTGTGATGGAGGTGGGACTGAGAGAGAAGACTTCTCAGGGCCCGGGCAGGTTCATACCAGGAGATGCAATTTGCCAGGTAGCGTGGACCTGAATCGTATAGGGTCTTATAGGTCATAACAAGCACTTTAAATTATGCTCAGAAATACACTGGCAGCCAGTGGAGCTTCCACAACAGAGGGATTGGATTATTGTAGGTTTTTTGGGCTATATGGCCATGTTCTAGAAGCATTCTCTCCTGACATTTCACCTGCATCTGTGGCAAGCATCCTCAGAGGTTGTGAGGTTTTGTCCGCTCCTGTTGAAATTTCTGAATACGCTTCAAAACTAGGCCACACAGAGCAGATTACAGTAATTCAAACGGGATGTAACTAAGGCATATACCACCATGGCCAGATACAGCATCTTGGGGAGCAGGCACAGTTGGCACACAAGTTTTAGATGTACAAAGGTATTGTGGAAACCTGGGATCCCAGGTTCAATGCTCAGGCAGTAATATACTTCCTTTTGTGTTTGTACCAGACAGTTGGAAAAGAGTGGCAGCCATTGTTCTTATGTCCCTTTGTGTTCTTGTCCATTGCCATTAACGTCATTGCTCCTCCTATGTGGTCTCACCATCACTTTTGTCCCTGCAGGATGTCTTTTCGAGATTTTATGCGTCAGTTTTCCAGGCTGGAAATCTGTAACCTCACCCCAGATACTCTGGACAAGGATGGGTTAAGCAGATGGCACACCACTCTCTTTGAGGGAACCTGGCGCCGTGGCAGCACAGCTGGAGGCTGCAGGAACCATCCAGGTGACACTTGGTTTTCTATTCTTTCTCTTTTGTTGTCGATGCATTACAGAAGTAAGCTCTGTGTTCTGCATAGTTTACATGTTTTGAAAATTGGGACCCTGGTGCATGACTGTATGCTATTAGTTGCGTCAGAGTGAGGCTGGGATGCATTATATCTTATTTCCTAAAGTGGCTTCTCTCCTGGAGACCTCACATTCATTTCTACTGATGTTATTTATAACCTGCCTTTCTCTCAGTACCGAACTCATGAGGGCTTTGATAGCACTGTGTAACTGGAGTCCTCCCTCTCTTCTTGCAGCAACATTCTGGGTTAATCCACAGTTCAAAATCAGGCTCCTAGAAGAGGATGATGACCCAGACGATGATGGGGTGGCTTGCACTTTCTTAGTTGCCTTGATGCAAAAACATCGCCGCAAAGCTCGTCAAGCAGGAGAATATCTGCATACCATCGGCTTTGCTGTCTATGAGGTAACCTTGAAAGGTTTTTTGGTGTGACTTTTCACTAGCAACGTTTAACAAAAGCTAATTTCTAATCTATTATTCTTTTTTTCTCTCCTCCCCTGATCACTTTGTAGGTTCCTGAGGAGGTATGTCCTGAGCAATTAAAACATTACGGAATTGTGATAATGGAGATTTCATAGTCAACTTAAATGGATTGATCAAACGGTTTAATATAACACAAGTAAACAAGATAAACAACAACTTTTCTTTTGTTATTATATCTTCCTAACTTGGTGTCCATCACAAAGAGGTTTTTGGTTCACAAGACTTTCCCTCCATCTGTATTGGTTGTGTCTGTACCTATTCATGGAAGGTGTTGTCTCTTTATCATCTGAAGGGAGGGGCAAACTTCAGGCAGACCCTGGATTATGAACAAGATAAGATTTGTTGTAAAGTTGAATTTATATGTAAGTCAGTACAAGTACATTTTTAACTGCAACTCCAGTCAGATATAGATATAGATATAGATATAGATATAGATATAGATATAGATATAGATATAGATATAGATATAGATAGATGTGTTACTTTTTAATAGTATAGGGAAAGGTTAACACCCCTGTAACGTTTGTTTTGCTGTATGTGCCTCTGTTCAGAAGATTTCACCTCGCTTTCTGTACACTCTGACAATTGGATTTTCTTTAAAAATTGGGTTTTTGTGGAAACAAGGATTAGTAGCAAAGCTTCAGAGGAGATACACTTCCCCGTGATAACTCTTACAGGAGTGAATTCACTTCCTATGGCTTTTCCAGACAGGGCTTTATGCCAGGGGCATTCACGTTTAAAAACGTGAATGTTCCTGGGGCCCTGTCCACACACACTCCAGAAAGTATGCATTTCTGGGGTGGGTGTCCTGATGTCTTTTCGGGACAGGCCCAGGAGGATAGCGTGACACTCTACTCCCTCCCTAAAAGCCCTAAAAAGAAAAGTACCTACCCAGCCTCCATTGGAGAGCTGTCGCAGCTCTCCTAGCATGTAGAAATGATGTGCCAGGAGAAGGGGGGGCAGGAGTGATTTTCCTCTCCCCCCCCCCCTTTCTCCTGGCATGCCATTTCTATGTGTCAGGAGAGCTGCGGCAGCTCTCCAGTGGAGGCTGGTAAGTACTTTTCTTTTTAAAGAGGCTTTTTAAGGGCTTTTGGGGAGAGCAGTAGAGTGTCCCGGTGTCCTCCCGGACCAATCCCAGAAAGACAGCTGGACACCCCAGAAAGCTCCCGGGAAACTGGGAGAATGCTGTCTGTACTGCACTATTCTGCAGTCCAGACACCGGAAGTAGTGGGTTTATCCTGTGCCTTCCAGGAAGGCGCGGAATAAACCCAATATCAAATTAATTTGCCACAAACCAGGGTTTTTCTGGTTTGTGGCGAATTAATTCCGGTTTGGCCAGAATGTTATCTGGACAGCCCCCTTTTTATTGCAGAAGTTACCATAATAAAGGGGTTGTCTAGATCCGCTCCAGAGGTAGATTTCCTCTCACTTCCTGTTGTCTCACCGCTCTTTGTAACTAGGAGTCAGATGTAAGTTGGATGTTTGTAGCTCAAGGATTGCATGTATTTGCTTAGCTATATGCAGTTGCTTCTCTCCTAGGCACAGGGCTGCCAAAATGTCCACCTGAAGAAGGATTTTTTTCTGAAAAACCAGTCTCAGGCTCACTCAGAAACCTCTATCAGTCTGCGGGAGGTGAGCAACCACATCCGTCTGCCCCCTGGTGAATATATCATTGTGCCCTACACCTTAGAGCCCAACAAGGAAGCAGACTTTGTCCTGCGTGTCTTCACAGAAAAACAGTCTGATACAGAGTAAGTCCCATGCATTGTATGAGTTGCTCTATTATTTATTGTTGTTTGTATTGGTATTGATGAACATCCCTCAAGCCTCTTCCACAGGCTTGCCCTCAAACCTCAACAGTCTTGTGGTGATGAAGTTTGTTTGGAAGTGTAGAAAACTCATTAGGGTTGTAAGTGTGGGAAAAATATTCAAAAGGCAGTTCAGGAGAGACCTGACTGTACTATTAACTGCCACGATTATTTATAGTGACTGTAGTGACATGTTTAACTACCTGAGTGAATAACACATCTCTGTATCTGGCAATGGGACAACTTCTCTCAGACTCAGAGATGCAACAAGGGTGGTGGTCTGTTTCCCTCCAAATCTCAACCTCTCCCACATCCATTTTTGAAAATATTAATTTGTATTCAATGAAACAAACATACCATCATACAAACAAAGACATATGCAAAGAAGCAAATCACATCAAACACAAGCCTTTTTATCTTAATATAAAACACTAACCTACAACAGCTTACAAAACCAATTCAAAAAACATACATACAACAGCAAAACTAACAAACAAATCTACTAGTCTAATCTACAGATCTCTCACTTTCTGTTTGATGCTTTCAGTTTTGATTCGTCTTCTTCTTTAATTGACATTATATAACCATACTTCTACATTTAATGACACATTACTAGCTCATAAGTCCCCTTGGGGAGAGAGGGAAGGGTTATAAATAAAGTATCATCATCATTATTATTGTTATATTATAAATCCCACAATCAATCTCCCAATTTTATATTAGTAAACCCCCAATCTCTCTTGAAGCTGATACTTCTCCTCCATCAACCTAATCAGTTTGTTGATCTTAATTACTTCATAAATCTTTGTTAGCCATTGTCATAGACTCTAGACATTTCTTTTCCACTATGTTGTATATTCAGAAATACTCCATACAGGAGTTCCTCCCCTATCCTTTTAGGCATACTTACTAGAGACCTGTTTCACAGCCTTCTTTCTATTTCAGGGAACTGGATGAGGAGATCTCTGCAGATCTTCCAGATGAGGTAAGCACTCTGTCCAGGAGATGCATTATTAAAATGTCATCCCTCCTCCTTTTTACACTGTATTGTGCTTTTGAAAACTACAGTGTGGTACATAGGTACTTTGAAAGAATAATATGAGTATTGCCCATCACAATTGGCTTATTTACTTCTGAAGAGCTATGTTTATTAAGTAGGCCTTGCTGGTCAAAACAGTTTGAGGTGAAAGCTGGAGAAGAAAGCCAAATTGAAGGAAAGAGAAAAAGGGAAAAGGTGTAAAGAGGTGACCTGATGATTGAGGAAACATGAAAGCCAATTCAGCATTATGTGTTGCTCAGGATGTGAGCAATCGATAGTGTAGACTTATTTATTACTTGACCTTGGAGCATTGTTGCTCTCAACTTGATCTGTGTTACTGAGTTATTACAAGGATACCATTGGGGGTGGGGGTGAGGGGACAGAGAAAGTTCTGTATGCCTCTTTAAGTTCAATGGAGAAAAATCAGAGGTACAGATAGCCCCCAAGTTATAAACAAAATAGGTTCTGTAGGTTTGTTCTTAAGTCAAATTTGTTTTTAAGCCAGCACAGGTGCATTTTAAATGAAACTTCAGCCAAATGTTCATTTTGCTGTCTGTGCTTTTATTCAAAAGACTTCACCTCCTTTTCTGTTCTGTGATAATTAGATTTTGGAAAATTTGGCTTGTTGTCGAAACAATGATTGGTAATAAAGCTTCAGTTGAGATACTTTTTCCCCATGATAACTCTTTCAGGAGTGGATTTCCCTTCCTCGGAATAGATTTCTCTCATTTCCTGTTGTCTCAGCGTGTCGTTTGTAACTCGGGGGCTGCCTGTATAGATAGTATAGCTCTCAATTTAAACCTGAAATTCTCGAATGATTACAAGGAATGTTGGTTGATCAGCTCCTCCTAAATTTTATTTTCTCAGGAAGAAATCTCCGAGGATGATGTAGATGAGAACTTCAAAAACATGTTCCGTCAGCTTGCAGGAGAGGTGTGTGCTGAGATCCGACTTTCTATTAATTTCTCCCCTGCCAATTTTTCTATGCACTGAACAGTCAAAATCTACAGTGAATGTGAATATGCAAAGTATCAAAGACTCTAATTGCTAATGTAGAAGTGATTATCATTGTCATTTGGAGGGTTGTTCGTTGTAATGGATATAGCGCTTGGATTTAACAAGTGACTGATCTGACAGGCTTCCTCTAAGGTCACTTTCTTTCAAGCCCAACTGTTGTTGTTGTTGTTGCTAACTTTATTTATATTCTGAATTCTCCCACCCACCCAAGATTAGGCTTTAAAACAGCATATACAAAGATTACAAGTCTCCAAACCCCCAGCTCAACATGAACATTGTCCCAATACTGTTCCCAATACTGAACTGCTTTTGGCGAAGGTTGGGAAAAAAATCCAAAGAATACATATAGTAAATAGAAGCACCATTCTTATTTACACTGAAGGTGAGATTCTGAACAAATAGGAACATTCAGAAATGGCTGATGCTCTGCTCCTTCTTCCTTCAGGACATGGAAATCAGTGTCTTTGAGCTCAGAAATTTCCTCAACATAACCATTGCAAAGCGTAAGTGCTTCTTATTAAGCCCTCTGACCCATAGTGTATGGGAGTATAACTTCTGCTCCTTCCTCTCCATGCAGAGATTCATAATTGTTCTTGTTTCTCACTTTGACAGAAAAAGATCTGAAGACAGACGGGTTCAGCATGGATTCTTGCCGCAACATAGTCAACCTGATGGATGTATCCTTTCTTGTGGTCAATAGGTTCAGGGGGAATTGATTGAAGATATTCCTGCTCGAAACAAAGTCAAGGAATATCTAATACAAGTGTAAGAATTGGCAGCACCTTTAGCCTTGTAAGAGATGACAATGGCCAATCCTTAAGACTTATAGCTGAAATGCAATGTGACTTTTTGATTTGCTTTTGCTCATAATTTATTAATCAGAGTGGGAACTCTGTGAGGTAGTCACAATGTTGTATAACAGTGTCATCTCACAATTGTGTATAGTTTTTCTCAGCCCCTAAATTTGTTGGAAACAGATCAAAAGTTCAGATTGCTACTGTATTATAGGAATTAATCTGTACTGGAGGCTGTGCAAATGTATTGGCTCATGCCTCACCCTCTGAAAAACATTTTATGCTATTGCATTTATGTTAATGTCTGTGGCTGTGTTTTTGACTGAGTGCATGGGGGGGGGGGGGGAGAGTTTCTCCTGAAATCCTTGCCGTTTCCCAGAGCATTTAATTCTTTTAGCCTAAGACCATTTTGGGTAATGTTTCTTTTGGAACAACATGTGACAGTGTAAAGAAGGACCGAAGCAAAGTGGGCAGAGAATGGATACAAAGAATAAGATCCAGAAGTGAGAGCAGTTAAACTAATCTGCTACCTTTTACATATTTATGTTTTCTCTTTTCAGAGAAGCACCGCATCAGCACAAGTAGATCAGGATGAATCATTTGGCAATAGTATGAGAGAAGAGACTAAAGTCATGAATTGTTGTACTCCACCTCAAGCCAAAAGGAGAGGTGGATTATAAATAAAATAACATAGAGTAGTAGCAGTAGTAGTAACAATTTAGTAGCTGTAGTAAAGCTGGTTGCCTGGTTCTGCTTATGGAAGGCATTTCAGAAAACTGTCAAAACATGGATAGCACTGTATTCAAGCAACTTTGTGAACAACCACCATTAGGAAGCAAGCACAGCTCTTTATTACATGTTTTTATACACTGTCAGCCTTCTGTATCCTCAGATCCTGCATGCATGAATTCAACTATCCACACTTTAAATATTTCTCCCCCCCCCCTCCCAAATCCAAAAAGGAAACCTTAATTTTGCCATTCTATATAAGGGACACTATTTTACCACATCCCTGTTTATAGCGTGACTTGAGCATCCACAGATTTTCGTATCCAGGGAATTGGGGAGGGGAGGAATTCTTGGCAGGAAATTGAGATAAAACAATCATAAATCAGCTGGGTTTATCTCCTCTTCTCAACCTTCAAAGACTCTGTCCTTAAAGGCATGAGGTATCATAAAACACTTGAAACTGAATCCATAAATCTGCTCATGGAAACACTTCCGATCTTGGTCACATCATGGCGAAAGAACAACACACTTTTGTCTTCTCTTCTGTTTGATACCGGAAATTACATAGCTTGTATTCCTTCTATGTTACTCCCCAGATTGCATTATCTCATGAACTACTGTAAATTATCTTCACATTCAGTTTAAACTATTATTATTTAATTATTTAATTATTTACTTACTTGCTTACTTACTTTTATCCCACTTTTCTCCCATGGATGGAATTTAAGCAGCAAAAAAATAGAAAAAGTAATACAGAAAATCATCATTCCACCAGCCTGACATATAAACAATAAATCAACGCATTCCATAAAATGCAAATTACAGAAATATAAATACTCATAAAAATAATCACGTATACCATCATTAAAATCCCCATGCCTCAAGCCACTGAGATTGTCCTAATATGTTAAAAACATTAAAACATATGCTATATCCACTCAAACATCAAAAACAGTGACAGTTCTGGAATCAAAGCCCAGCAAACACCAATGGGTCACCCTTTGGCACAGATGTGGGACAGTTGTATACTAGTAGTTTTCACCACTCCAAGGTGAAAAGCACACAAATGTAGTACTTATATAACATCTCTTGTGTCTGGGGAGTCGGTCTAGAATGGAGGGGTGGATGGGATTAACCTCATAAACTTGGAACATAACCAATACTATTTTTGGATTTTGTATCATTCGGTTCTTTCAGCAGTTTTGGAAGTCCTACCTATATCATCTGTTCCATCATATATATTTTTCTCAGACTTTGTGATCGTAAGCTTTATTCTATTGAATTTTTCTCCTTGACTCTCCTGTTCTTCAGAAAGATGGCAGTTCTCGCCTGGGTCTTGTGGAGTTTCAGATCTTGTGGAACAAGATCACACGCTGGCTGGTAAGGAAGTGAAAGAGGCATGGGTCCATGACGCATTCAGCACAGTTCTTTGGGAAGAGAGAGAGTACATAAAGCGTACCCATTGGGAAAAGAATCGCAGTGTCATAATTTTTGTCTTGTCATGACAGAATATCTTTCGTCGGTTTGATCAGGATAAATCAGGCACCATGAGCTCCTATGAGATGCGCCTGGCTTTGGAAGCTGCTGGTAAGTTTTAGAAGGGAAAATAATAAGCATGCTGGGAACATTGAGGAGTTCGTAGTGCTTATAAACTGAAGTAGCTGATAGACTGACTAATGCTACACTTTGTATGTACATGTATCTTGTGTAATGCCATTATTTTCTATTTCCCATTGAGGAGAGGGGGCATGGCCAATTTATGTGTAAGGTTAATACTCACAAGCAGTAATAGCAGAATAGAGATATACAAATTCATCAGTTATGTTCTCATTGCATTCCTTAGATTCCTGTCAATATAATCCCAATTCCATTATCAGGTTGTGATGTCTTTTTTTGCCCTTCTTCATTAATGCAAATAGAAAATGTGAATGTGTTTTTCATATACATGAACATAAAATACAAGTTTCAAACCTAGTCATAGTTTGCAAACATGTTTTGTTCTCCAGAATGTTTTACAGCCCTTGGATGGATTTCCTAGGCGAGATGGATTCATCTTATTGCCAGTCTTCAAAGAACTGACATTTTATAGTGAAATGAACACCGAGAAAACTCCTCTGTCTGAGGCCTCTTCTGCATTGCCATATAATCCACTTTATCTGATTTGATCTGGATTATATGAGTCTGCTTTGATAATCTGGATTTTATATGGCAGAGTAGAAAGGGCCTGAGAGAGATCAGTGTTCTTAACCTCTCTTGTCCATGCCAACCCCAAAGTGGCTGTAAGAAAATAGGATCAGGTTCATTTTCTGGTGTCATTTCCACCACCACCTATAATAATAATAATAATAATAATAATAATAATAATAATAATAATAATAATAACAACAACAACAACAACAACAACAACAACAACAACAACAACCAAACGTGTGATCCAATACAACAGCCAGCAGAGTGACCTTGTTTGCTGTGTACTAATCTTGTTGTGTATTCTTATACCCCACCACCATCTTCCCAAAGGGACTCGGGGCAGCTTACTAATGGGACAAGATGTCCACAAAACATAACAGCAAAAACAATCCATAAAACAAAACATATTAAAATAGGAACATCATAAAATACAGCCACCAAGATAAAACAGACTAGACATAACAAAATAGAACAGATTACATTGGAGATCCAACAGACCAGGTTCAACAAAAACAATGACCAAGATTCCTAAAGTGGTTGTGATCAAGCCATAATAACGGCTGGGCAAGGATAGTGCAACTAGTGTACCATAGGGCTGGAGAAGTGGGTGTCGTTCAAAACAGAGTACTATCTGGTGACTTAGGGACTGGGCATGCGTAACTAAGGACTAATCAATCTCAAATGCTTGCTGCAACTTCCAGGGTTTCAAATCCTATGAACAATGAAGAACTTAATCTGATGTATGTTCATACTCCACTTTCTCCCACTTTGGGATCATTGATCATTGCTTGCTTTCCAGATCATTCAGTTTGAAGTAGAGTCTTTTTTATTAATTTCAAAAGAAGAGTAGTCATGAAGATGTGCCTCATCACTTCATTTATAAAACACACTCAATATATTGATTTTAAAGTGATTGATCTCAAGAAAGCTTGAGAGAGTTTGAGGAAGAAGTAGGTATCCTTAATTAATAAACTATTTTATTCCTTCTTTTGTGCACTCTTCCCCACACATCTTTTTTCTGAGTTAATTGAATTGTATTCACGCTCCAGTTTGTTGTCTTGCTGAGAATTCTTTTCTCAAAGAACAAAATTCTGAGAATTGTGTTCTTGGTTTAGACTCTTGTTGAACTTAATATTCATATCCGTTTTTTCATATTTTAGGATTCAAGCTGGACAACAAGTTGCATCAAGTGGTGGTGGACCGATATGCTGATGACTCACAGGGTGTTGACTTTGATAATTTTGTCTCCTGTTTAGTGAAATTGGAGACCATGTTCAGTAAGTTTCTCTGTTGCTGGGTCTGAGTAGCCTTCTATAGGAGCTATTTGTGAGTCCCAACCGTATGTAAGGATACACCTCTAATGACTGATATTGTTGTTGAGTGCTGTCAAGTAAACCCCAGCCTTCAACAACACTGTCTTTGGTCTCATTGATTTGGTCTCATTGATTCAGAAGAAGTTTGGGTTGTTGTGAGTTTCCTGGGCTGTATGGCCATGTTCCAGAAGCATTCTCCCCTGACATTTCACCTGCATCTATGGCAGACATCCTGAGAGGTTGTTGGCAAGTGAGGTTTATATACCTGTGGAATGTCCAGGGTGTGATAAAGAACTCTTGTCTGTTTGAGGTAGGTGTGAAAGTTTCAATTGGCCACCTTGATTAGCATTTAATGGCCTAGCAGTTACAAGGTCTGGTTTTGTACTTTGTTGGGAGGTGATTAGCTGGCCCTGATTGTTTCTTATCTGGAATTCCCCTATTTTTGAGTGTTGTTCTTTATTTACTGTTATGGTTTTAGGTTTTTTTTAAAATACTGGTTGCCAGATTTTGTTCAGACTGAGAGACTGGGGAGCAATAAAAATACATGTGGCTTTGTTTGTTTGTGTTTTTTTTTTCAAAAGGAAGAAAAAAGTTGATAGCAGCTCTAGCCACTGCAGCCATCCCTTTCACTAGGAATGGGACATGGAGATATGTATTGTTGAAGGCTTTCATGGCCGGAATCACTGGGTTGTTGTAAGTTTTTTGGACTGTATGGCAATGTTCCAGAGGCATCTGAGCATGCCTGCCATAGATGCAGGCAAAATGTGAGGAGATAATGCTTCTGGAACATGGCTATACAGCCTGAAAAACTTATGCTCCAGGTTTCGAAGGAACAAATCTCTCTATGAAAAGTGCAAAGGAGAACTTCTCTTTCCAACACTGAAACAGAAGCCATGTTCAGTTTAAACCTATAGGTTCCCATTATGGCAAGAGGGAAATTTGTCAGGGTTTATAGTGTGTACATTGCAGACTGTGTAATAGGAGCTTAAAGGAGGCTGAAATAATAGCAATTAAGCTCAATTTAGTTCTTTACCATTCAGCTTCTTGGCTGAGACTTTGCTTTTGGAGGTGACAGTGCAAACCACTGCGCCCATGGTGGCAATTGGTCCATGAAATTCCCTTCAGATGTATTTGTAAACCTATACACTTTACATGGGTCTATGTTATTAACTAGAATGTCTATACATGTCTCAGCCTTTAATTTGTAAACTGCAATAGAGCAAAACTGATAGGAAAAGACAACTTTAGAGCTGATAAGTGAATCTCCGTTTCTTTTCTTAACACCTTGCAGGGTTCTTCGAAAGCAAAGATCGTGAAGGCACTGGCAGTGCAGTGATGAACCTTCGTGAGGTAAGAGAATTAAAACAGAGCCAGACAAATGGCAATATCAGCTCATATAAAAGGCAAACTGTGCAGTATAATTTTATGTATCATCTTTTATCTCGAGATGGGAGCCAAAATAGCCTAGGATATAAGTTAAAAATAAGACAACTGTTCTTAAACTTTCATGTATTGAACCCATTTTAACCTTGCAAATTTAAGGCAACTAATTTGTTTAATTTATTTACTGCATTTCTGCCCCACCTTTCTCACCTGAAGGGACTCAAGGCGACTTACAACACTCAACCAACACTCAATTTAATTTTTTTTTGTATTTTTTGAAGTATCCCCCTGGGGTACTTCAAAAAATAATAGCTTCTGCCAACCTAGCAGTTTGAAAATATGCAAATGTGGGTAGATCAATAGGTACCACTTCGGTGGGAAGGTAACGGTGCTCCATGCAGTCATGCCGACCACATGACCTTGGAGGTGTCTACGGACAATGCTGATTCTTCAGTTTAGAAATAAAGATGAACACCACTCCCAACCCCCCAGAGTCAGACACAACTAGACTTAATGTAAGGGGAAACCTTTACCTACTGAAACAGCACTCAGAATGTGAAAGAAAAATGAAATATCAGAGGAGATACAGGGATTTGTGTGAAAGAGGAATCAAGCTCAAGCTTGTCCCTTCTACGGTGGGACCTCTCTCTTTAAACTACTTTTAACACTTCTTTAGAGAAAACTATCTCTGTCCCTTGTGGTTACTCCACAATTTGTGTTGCAAATTGTAGTAACTTCACTACATTATTTTTTGGCCAAACTCTGAAAGGCTGATTATACAATAGTTAATTGTTCACCTAACATCTGATCTTCTACAAGCTCATTCACTGTTGCTGTCTTTTCTTCACAGTGGCTGACATATACAATGTGCAGCTAGAGCAAAGATGAAACTTCTGGCTGTGCTGACCCTGATGGACTGGGCTACCCAAGTGTCTCCTTCAGGCTGAAACTGGATGGCCCAACTCCCCTTCTTTCTTTCATCAACCCACCCCTGAGCCGAACGTCTGAATCTTCCATTTCCCTTGATTATCCACACAGTAGAACCCCACGGCATAAGCGCTCCTGCTCTCACCATTGTCTCTGTAGGGATCAGTCTCTTTTAGGGGCCAGGGCAGAGAGGAGGCAGATCTTTCCTGCTGTGAGCATACCTTGCGACATCTCTTGCTGAATCGGGGCAACTGAGAAAAGATCAGGAGCGTGTGCTGGTTTTAGAGTCAATCTGCCTATCAGGAGGGGCTCTCTTCAGAGTTGGCAGAAGGTTAGCCTAAAAGGTTGGCCTTTCTATACCACTTGGTCTCGTTAGTGATTCTGCTTTTGCAAGGAAATCTGCTCCTCTCTCCTGGAATCATTTCTCTTTGTTTTTGCTTTTCACTGGTAAATTCAGTGGCAATAGGCAAAAGGGAGATGAGCCCTGGATTCTACTCTTCAGTCTTGAATTTAAAAAAATACACTCACCTGAAGGTGGGGAAGTCTTTTGCAAAGACCACTCAAGATCCCTGTGTCTGAAATTATAAATTCAACATTTGCTTAGACATGTCTCCAGGATATTTTTTTATTTTTAATACAGGCACCACTAGATGGCAGAATGGTTCTTTCTTCCCCGCACAGACCACTTGACTTTTGACTGTTACCTGGTAGTCCTACTCTGATCAAAAAGTGCCAATGGGCTGAACTCCAGCAAAGCTGCCCTCTTGGCCTAAACTCTGGAAGAAATCTGTATTGGAGCTCGTGGAACAAAGGGACTTTGTCAATTGGGCATAATCTTTCCTCCCAGTCCCAATCTTAAATGCATGCTATTAGGTCATCTTTACAGCCCACAAAAGTACCTTCAAGGAAGAAGCATCTAACACACAGAAAAGGCCCTGCTATTTTGACTTGCTCTTATGGATGTCTATTTGGGCTTGAAAAATTGTCAGCTGTCATCCTCTTGATTCATTCCAAGTTGGATAGACTCATTCAAACAATTTATGACTAGTTAATCAACATTTACACAAATGTAATGGATTAAATTGATCTATTTTAATCAAAACCAGTTTTTCACATTATCTACCCCAGTAGCCTAAAACCAACTGCTTATTGCAACTTAAGTGGGTCCATTGAATCAACTACTATGATTTTTGGATGGTGTGATTTAACACTGAATGTAATGCTTTTTAAATGTTTAATATATATTTTAATTCAATTGATTTTAAGCTTAATGTTTGTATATGTTCGAAGGCATTAAATAATTGCCATATGTAAGCCATCTTGAGTCCCCTTCAGGGTAGAGAAAGGTGGGATATAAATAAGGTAAACAAATAATAATAAATTCTAAACACTATGTCAAACACATTTAAATTACATTAATTCTCTAGATCTGCAGAATCAATGGTGTTCATGACATAAAATAAACTTTAATGCTATAAAATGAATCATTCATTGTCATTCTAATTCCTCTAATTCCTGTTGGCCAACAGCCTCTTTCCTTTCCCCTTCTGTTGGGTTTCTTTACAGCCAGCTGTTTTGTGACGTCCCCACCATTTGCTTCTTCAGCAACTGCTTGCATAATTGAGGAGCCTTTCTCTAAACCATCCAGCAGCTTCTGAGCAAAATGAGTGGTGGGGAATTCACACAACCTGGGTCCACTTGTTTATGCCAACTGGTGTTGCTGCGTTGCATGCAAACTCTCTGACATTCCTTCTACTCCAGAGGTGTGGGCTTTTCCTTCCCCTACCTCTTCTTGCCATAGGAATTCCAAACTTGATGGCACAAAATAACATTTTATCTGCAGTAAGAATGAGCAGAGATGATAAGAGACACACCAGGACGCTCCAGCTGCTACTTCTGTTCATGGGATGGGGCCAAGTTTTGAACTCTTCAGCTGACACTTGCTGTAAAGGTATTCTGGCGGCTTAGACTAGCTGAAGGATAAAACTGGGAAACCATAGCAGGAATAGTCTCAGTGCAGCAACAAGCCAACCTGCATACACTGCTATCCTTTGACTGTCCTAAAGGAATCGTGAGCTATGCAGCCCAAGCCCAGTTTTTCCACTAAGGAGAGAACATGGTATAACAATTTGAGTGTTGGATGTAGGACTTCAGGGGCCAGGGTTCAAACCATCATTCAGTAAAAAAAAAAACCCACTGACCTTGGGTAAGTCACATTCTCTTAACCTAATAAGGTAGCAACAGAAAAGCTCTGGATATTTTTTAGGAAATCAATGAGCATGAAGGCACAGAACAGCAGGATCAGAGCCCAACATAGTTTGCTACCTGAGAGGGGAGTGTTAAACACAGTGCCTGAACCCATCACGAAGGGAACTCCATAGCACAAACTCTCCCCATATCAAATGGTCAAAACATAACAGTGAATTATAAACAGCCATTTTCCTAAATATCCTAAAGGTACCAGATCCCATCTAATCTTGAAAACCAATCAGGGCCAGATATCGTCAGTACTGGGATGGGAGTCCATGTAGGAAAACCAGGTGCTGTTGGCTATATTCCAGAGGAAGGAACTAGTAAAACCACCCTTTAGTATTCCTTGTTCAAGAAAAAGCTATGACCATGGGCTAACCATAAGTCAAGAGACAACTTGAAGGCACATGGACACACACGCACCCATTTGCTGCCTTTTCATGAAACCCCAGATTTGTTACCTGAGATGGCAGTATTGCTCACCCTAATGGAAGGCCCTGCCCTGTTAACAAGATGAAGATTATAATCTTTCTGAAATGTATGCGTCAAAAACTATATGCCTGTGAAATGTGGACTGTCTACAGACATCACACTCAACTCCTGGAACGATTCCATCAGCATTGCCTCTGAAAAATCCGGCAATTTCTTTGGGAAGACAGGCGGACAAATGTCAGCATGCTGGAAGAAGCAAAGACCACCAGCATTGAAGTGATGCTCCCCCAACCATCCACTCCGCTGGACTGGCCACGTTGTCCGAATGCCCAATCACCATCTCCCAAAGCAGTTACTCTACTCTGAACTCAAGAACAGGAAACTGAATGTTGTTAGACAGGAAAGGAGATTTAAAGATGGGCTTAAAACCAACCTCAAAAACTGACATAGACACTGAGAACTAGGAAGCCCTGGCCCTTGAGCACTCTAACTGGAGACCAGCTGTGACCAGCAGTGCTGCAGACTTCGAAGAGGCATGAATGGAGGGCAAAAGGGAGAAACGTCCCAAGTTGAAAGCGCATCAAGCCAACCCTGACCAGGACCGCCTTCCATCTGGAAACCGATGTCCTCACTGCAGGAGAACATGTAGATCTACAACAGGGCTCCACAGCCACCTACAGACCCACCGCCAAGGCCATCATCCTTGAGCTACGAGGAATCACGTAAGTAAGTAAAGTAAGTAAAAACAAAATGTGAAATGGCTCAGTATTAGTGAAACGGCTTAGATCATCTGTTAGGCATCAAGGCAGCACTATGATTCTTCATGCTGGAAAGGAAAAAAGAGTGGAATGATATGGCAGAACCTAAGAAGCCCCTCTTCAGAAGACATCTGAAGCCACAAACTGGAGTGAATCTGTTAAGGTTTCTGTAAAACTGGCTGTAAGTTTTGTGTGGGATTACTACCTTCTCTGCACCGGGTGTGTGAAGAAGGAAAATAACTCATTTTGGTGATTATTATAATATGCAGTTTACATGAATTAAGGGCAGTAATTACTCCCCATTAAGGCCAGTAAGTTTGAGCCACTCCTGGTGGGGGTATAACTGCGTGTCTCTTGGGATACATCTGGGTTCCCTTCCTTGCTCTATGGGAATGGAAGTTGGAGGAGTCCAACCCTTTGTGTTGGTATGATTGCATTCAAAGACTATATGAGTTCTGTTATTCCGAAGAACTTATTTTGCTGCAATGCTACAAGCTTATTTTACTGTTTTGAACTTTGCTGGACAAGAGTAAATTTATGTTTCCTCTTTTGTGTGTTGCTAGTACTGTGTCTTTGATGGACAAGCTTCTGTATTATAACCCAAAAGAGTAAGCTGGTTACCCAAAAATGACATAACCAGACTTATAGTTGCAATTATGATTCAACATTAATCGACAAGTTCCAAAGTTTGTACTAAGTTCCCTCAGGACACCATTGATACCAGTGTAGGAAATTCATCCAGCACATCAAGCCACTTCTGTGTGGAATAATGACACCGCTTTATCCTTTGCCTCAGGCAATAAAATCTCTTGGGAGGAGTCCTTCCACCAACTGCAGCATTCTTCACCCAGAATTGCTAAGGATGCTTAAAAGTGCTTACCAATGAGCTTCCCCCTATTTTGCACCCAAACCAGGGTGTATGCATGTAAGAAGTGCCCTCTCTATGCCAGCAGAGGGAACTCTTGATGTGCATGTCACTCTGATTACTTGTACTCGCCTCTACCATTTGCCAGTGATGGGCAGGGAATTCGCTTTTGCACCACCTCCTTTCTCAATATGCCCAATAAGAAAAGACTGATCAGGAGGAGGAAGCCTCCAAAGTCATCTGCTCTTTCTCTTCTGGCATTGCAAACTGAGTCATCTGTGATGAGGAGGGCTGGAGGAGGCGTTCCTTTTCTAAAAACGAAGGCAGAGAATGCCTGGAAGCCAGAATGCCTGGAGTTTTTTCCTCTGACTTGATGTGTACATGCCTTTCCTCACAGCAAGCCTCACATAGCTTTCAATGTCTCAGTCCCATACCACCGGAGAAGACAAAGAAGGCAAGTAGTTCCGGGGCTAATTCCGACATGCAGGGAAATCCCATTTATGTTCCATAGTCAATCTGGGTGTGGCATCCACCCCTGGCTGAACCTCGGCGCCGACATAGCTGCGGCCTGACTCAGAACTGAGCAGAGATTCCAGCAGGACACTGATTTGTCAGAGAGATGGAGAAGAGGGTAGAAAGACTCAAAGCAATTAAATTCCTGCCTTCATCTCATATTCAACATTTGTTCTCAAGGTCCACACTTCCTACTATTGCTGAATTGACCATAACTACATGCTTAGGGCATCAAGAAAAAAAGGGGATGGCACCACAGAAAGTTTCGGTTGCTGGATTTAACATGGATTATGTGCTGCAAAACTGCAAACAGTGCAGCTGAACCAGATTCCACAAAAATGCTCTTATAATAAAAGATTTGCAATCATAAAAAAGTAGAAGAAAACTTTTCAAATATAAATAAAAAATGGTTGTGTACAACAATAAACACTATTTTCCATCTTTAAGTTTTGTTTCATTTAAAAAATATTTTACAGTTTGTTGTTTGCATTTTTAATTAGATTTATATGGGAGCACCAAAATATTTTAAGAACTTAGAGCAGGAAAAGAGATTTAAAGATGGGTTTAATGCTAACCTTAAAAACTGTGGCATAAACACCGAGAATTGGGAAGCCCTGGCTCCTCTGAGTCCCCTTCGGGGTTGAGAAGGGCAGAATATAAACATAGCAACTAAATAAATAAATAAATTTTATTTGTGATAACTGGAGGTCCGCTGTGATCAGCATACTGTGGAATTTGAAGAGGCACAAATAGAGGGAGAAAGGGAGAAATGTTCCAAGAGGAAGGCGCATCAAGCCAACCCTGACTGGGACCACCTTCCAACTGGAAACTGATGTCCTCACTGTGGAAGAACATGTGGGTACAATCACCAAGATATCCACCGCTAAGACACTACATTTGTTAGGCCATCATACTACGACAATGAGGAATCGCCTAGGTAAGTAAGTAAGGTAAGTAAGTCTGAACCTGTCAACATAACTGAGGCCTGACTCAGAACTGAGCTGAGATCTAGCAGGACACTAATTTGTCAAAGAGATGGAGAAGGGGGTAAGCAGACACTTAAAGGCATTGAAATTTCTGGCGTCATCTCATATTCAACATTTGTTCTCAAGATCCCCACTTTCCACTATAACTGGGTTAACCATTAAGCAAAATAACCACATGCTTAGGACATCAAGAAAAAAAGGGAGATGGCACCACTTGAACTATAATAATAATGAATTACACAGCTGTCTTGAGGAAATTAGCTGGATGCTGTTATTCCTTCTTTCTTGCAGTGTGCATAGTT